CTTTGCATCCACATGGAACGCTATTATCTTGGCTTAGTTTCTGAACAGTCTAACTTGGTTTCTGAATCGACTGTTTTGGTTTCTGAATCGGCTGTTTTGGTTTCTGAATCGGCTGTTTTGGTTTCTGAATCGGCTCTTTTGTTGGTTGCTGAATCGGCTGTTTTTATTTCTGAATCGTAGTTGCTGATTCGCCTGGTTTGGTTTCTGAATCGGCCGACTTGGTTTCTGAATCGGCTGTTTTGGTTTCTGAATCGGGACTCGCTTGGTTTCTGAATCGGCTCATTTGGTTCCTGAATCGGACCATTTGGTTTCTGAATCGGACTGTTTTGGTTTCTGAATCGTAGTTGCTGAATCGGCCATTTTGGTTTCTGAATCGTAGTTTCTGAATCGGCTGTTTTGGTTTCTGAATCGTAGTTGCCTGATCGGTTGGTTTCTGAATCGGCTAATGACCGCCAACAAGCTCAGATGCACGCGACAACACTCTGGGATTCTGCCATGTTCTACCTATCAAGAGCCTTCGATCGCCCAGCCAAACTCATCACTAGCGCCATGCCAACCCTGGCCAACCCTGGCCCCAAAACCGTTTCTTTACAACCACGGCGCATCCCCCAATCCCCTCTCCGCCCAGGGACGCGGCAGGATCTCGGCCACTGAGGAAAGGCGAGAAGTCGGTGGCCCGGCCGAGGCTCAAAACCTCGTTCACGCGCGGCAAGGAACCGCAGCAAGGAACTAGGAACGAACGAGTCACGGAGCAGAATCTGCCCATGGAACTGACTCAGTGACGTATCCGTATACTGGCAAAGAAAGTACTTAGGGGCTAGGGTCAACCAACAATTAGGGGTGTTAATCTTCAAACCTCACTCTTCCAGCCGACCGGATCCGAACAGGCACCGCATCCGAGTGCATGGTGCTGCATGGTGCTACGTCCACCCTGGTACCTGTGGGTCCTGTGGGTTGGTCGGAAACGTCTTTGGTTTGGATGAAGTGCATGTTCTGAATTCGGCCCAAAACAAAAAGTCACACTTGGGGATGAACAACATCTTAGTCCTGTGTGCAGTCAGAGTAGGTGAACAGTGCGGGAGAATCTCAAGCAGTTGTCGGTTTTTTGTTGTTTGGGGCCGTTCCATAGCTGTGGTCTTTGACCACGATCTTCGTATTTGTCACCGCCGGCGACCCTTGGCAGATCAGGGAGCACACCAAGGTCTAATCGAGACAGAAAAAGCTCCTTCCCCTTAAAGATGTACGCGACCTCTATTAACTCATATTAACTCTATAGATGTGTAGAGAATGTTGGAAGCTGATTGCGTCAAAGCCGCAAAGGTTCCGATCAGCATATGCTTGGCAATCCGCAGCAGCACTTCCTCACTGCAAAGGTCTTCAATTCCATCTCCGGTTGCTCCGCTAGGTACGGCTCCAAAGAACAGGCATGACCCAAACCTATTGGAAAATGGTACTGGAAGAAACACCAGGACTTCCTTTTGCATCCCGAAACCCGTGCTTTCGCCGCGCCCTAGAAATCAACGGCCACCCAGCAGGTGAGGTGTCTCAACATGGCCAACTGCTGGGCCTAAGGTGAGCCATGGTCCGTGGCTGGAATTGCTCTTCCCCACAAGGAGTTTGAGATATATAGTTGATAGCAGCAGCTCTGTGCAGCAGATCGGATCGCCTCTTTTCCTACACCCTCCGACGACGCCGGAAGTCCAGGCGTCGGAGACGAGGCCGTCACGGGAGGCCTTGAGCTGGCCTTTCTCATCGAAAAGGACCTCCGCTGGGGAGGCAAAGTAGATCACCTAAGGCCGAAAGCTCCAGCAACGGATCCCCGTGGACGGGCTCGACTGAATGGTTCCAATCTGTTGACATGTCACAACTCACAACTATTCATCCATCAGGGCCCTCAGCAGTTTCCAGAATCGCCGGAAACTGCCGGCATGTGCTTCGGCCTGAAGGCGCCAAAAGGCGCCAAAAGTCGCACATCGCTCCGGGCGCGGCGTCTCGGCTGCAGGGGGACTGAAGCATGGCCCTAAGCATGGCAAACCTTTCTCCAAACGCTCTGAGGGTGCTGCAGTGATGCGCCTGACACGGTGACCCCCCGGCACGTACCAAAACGTCCCAAAACGCGCCAACAACGATGACGAACGAGGAGGGCAAAGGTCTTTGGCACCAAGGTACAAAGTTCTTGAAGGAATCATCGAAGCCCTTGGGTCCAGTACCACAGATCAGTTCCAGCCATCGGAAACCTGCTAGGCGCTGCTGGGCGGTCAAGGGTTTCTTGGAGATGGAAACAGGACAAAATAGGGAGAGTCCCTCACACCACTTGAAGAGACTGACAGAGAGGAAGATTGATTCCACCATGAATCCAGTAGCTGGGGGAAGATCCACGGTGACAGCTTACCACCCTAGCTTGAGTCAGCACAACCCTTCTTGCGGGTTCTCTCTACAGACATGTGTTGCTTTGATGTTGCTTCAACTTTGTGGGCATCACCTTGTCTTTGGAGGGAGGAAGAGAACAAACAGAAAGCCGCCTGTTCCAGGTCCCATCCGATCGCTCCTTCCCCCCTCGTTCCGGCCTGCGACCACCCCGAAGAAGGAGAGCGCGAAGTGCGCCATCTTGGAACGCAAGGGGCCGACCCTGTCGAGGACGAAAAGCCTTGACACGCGCAGAGCTGCGGCCAAGGCAACGCAGATTTAGAACGTGGATCTTGCAGGGGGAGCCCGGCGGCAGAGAATTTGGACCATTTCTGGGTGGTTGAGGATGGATTTCGCTGGCAAGTGGCCCCTTGCTCACCTAGAGAGCTTCTCGGGCTGATCTTGTTCAAATCTCCAAGGATTGTACGTACATGTTGACACCCTGAAAGGCCAACTGGGCGGTCACCCTCGCTGCCAAGCAATGTCTCTTCTTTGAAATTGAGACTGCTTTGGATAAAGTAGCAATCCGGCATGCTGCAACGGAACAGCATTGAGGGCCTTGATTGCAGAGTGGTTTTCTTGTGGGGTTGCTCCTCTTCTTCTGTGCTCTTCTTTGTGCACTATCGCTTTCCAGCCATGTTGCTCTCCGGGCTAGCCAGCTTGGCTTCTTTTGGCCTAGTTTTGCTTGACTACCAGTTGTTCTTCTCACCAAAAGCAGCAGAAATTCCAAGTCACGACCCAAAGCAAGCTCAACGAGAACCGCCGAAAAAAAGGCCCATCCAGGTGAAGCACATCGGTCCAGGTCGCGGCCGCAACTTCGGTCGCCAAGTGTCGGCCCGATGACCATGGGCAGCAGCATGAAGCATAAGACCCCGCGGCGCCTCGATCTAAACGGGTGGCGATTATGGTTGAACGCAAGCAACGAAAGCCAGAATTTCTGTCAGTTTCTGCAGTGGGCCCCAAACTTTGAGATTCCCGGGCGATGCAAAGCCCCATAGCCCCTAAGTGCCACTAAAAAAGGGGCCAGCACCACCCAATATTTAGTTGGAAGAAACAGACAGACTAACACCGATGTCACTATGTCTATGTCTTGCTTCTTGAGCCACACGACCACCGCCCGCCAGCGGCCCCCCCCTTCCGTGCGGCCATCGGGACCAAGCGCTTGGAAGGTTGCGGTGGAGCGCATAGCCCACGCTGCCCAGAAGAAGCAGCACAGCAAGCCCGGCGAAGGAGATCACTTTCACCTCGCCTCACAGGAGACTGAAAGGTCTGTGAAAGACGTTCCAAGCAAGGCCACGGCGGCCACAACCCTCCCAATCACTTTCAGGTAAGGAGAAAGATGATGGGCTCGTTAAATCACTCATCTCAGCTCCATGCTGATCCCCAAACCCTCATAGCAACCACAAAAAATAACGCCAGCGACCACTGCTCTTCTCATCTGGTCTCGCGCTCGGTTGAATGCCGAAGCTTGGAACAATTCAACATCCTTCCACCTTCTCTCTATGGCCTCTCAGCTCATCATGTACAAAAAAGGTAAACAACCCCTCAAAAAGCCGCAGACTCTCCCAATCCCCAGGAAGAAAAAGAAGTGCGTTTCAAGCCAAGGCGCTATCAGCCTCCAAGTCCTCGAGTTCTTCGCAACCGATGGGACGACGCTATTGGCGGTGGCTCCCAGTCAACTGAACAAAGCTCCCGGTCAGCTGACTGCTTGGATCTCTTTGGTTGGACAGTTGGACACGAAAGGGTTGGGAACAGGAAAACGGCCCAGGCCCTGTCTCCGTGCGTCTTCGAGGACGAGGCCTTGGACTCCGTTCCTCTTCCAACTCAGAGTGATATGATGATTGTCAGCGAGGGAGTGCACATATCAAAGGATGTTCTGTCTGTCATGCCATGTCATACCGTCATACCCATTCCTAGGGAAGCACACAGCCCACACGATCCATTTCTGGAGAAATGGGGAAATTCTCCGTCCCTCTTTCCAGTCGGAGGGTATGAAATGCACCTTTCAATCCTCCCGCCGAATCCAATGCGTTCCAAATAGGTGTTCCTCCAAGGCACGGGTTGGGAGAAGGTCACATGGAAGGGCCCCATCGTGGGCGCGTCTTTCTTTAAGATGCCAAATAACACTCAAGGGCACGTCCCACTTCACATCGGATGAGTCGGTTGGTTGTTTTTCAGTCTTCGGTGCGTGCATTCCGGTGGTTTCATCGAAAATATCGAATCTTGAGCAGGCGGTTTGTGTTCTAAATTTAGACACTCAAAAGGATCCATCATGCAAATCATAGCTGCAATGCTGAAGCCAGAATGAACCGAGCCGTGCATCAAGAAGTCAGCAAGTAAACAGCTGAGTGTTTCCGAGTGGCAAAGAACGCTGAACATGGCAGGAATTGGCCACCTTCAGGACAATGGCCAAGACTTCTAGGCTCTTGTCTGTATCTTCATACATGGCTTTCCTTCTCATCACTTCCAGAAGACTTTTCACCAGGTGCCCAAACAAATTTTCTACTTTGTCACCACAGCACCTCAGCACGCAACATGCTCCCAGATTCCCCCCCCCCAAACCCAACCTTGCCAACCATGCTAGGGCTCCCTACAGCAGCCGTCTGGTCCGTTTCCAAGGGGAAGTGACAGTTGAGAACCTTAGGACGTTCTTGCACGTTGACGCTGCTCCGAGTGGCCTTCCCCGCCCCCCCCCCCAGTCACGGCGACTCGGCTCGGCTCGCGCATCGGAGCGGATCGATGCCCGGCGTCGTCCTCCGGTCGTCCTCCGGTCGTCGGGCGTCTCGAAAGACGACGAGACGATCCGAGGGTCTTTCGACACGTCCGGAGCTTCCCATCTTCAACCGGATGAAGAGTTTCCCATCCTCAAGCCAACCGTTCGAATGAGGTCTCTTCGGTTTCCCCAGCCTCTTTTTCCCCGAAACGGACAGTTCGCTGGGGCAGGTGATCATCGCACTTCCTGGCTGGGTTTGTATACCTTGCAAAGCCGCCCCAACACCAACGACGATCTCGGCGGACCCGTGAAGCTTCCGCCGAGGTCCCACGCACGCAAGCTCCGTCGCCTTGGATCCTCACGCTCCTCGTCGCAGGAGAAGCACCGGACTCATTTGATCTGCTGGTGATCTGAGGAAAGTGATGGTGCTTAGCAAGTTGGAGCTAGATAGCTTGATCTGAGGTAGATGGCAAGTTGGAGGGACGAAGTGGTGACAGTACCATGAAGTGATACAGTTGTCCTACCTCCGATCGGCATAGCTGAACAGTTGGTTTGGGAGAGTGTACCTACCTTCCCAGAAACCATTTGTTTGCCTTTGTCCCTCTGTCCCTCTGTGCAACCATCACCTGCCAAGCAGCCGCCAACATAGTCAATGCTTCTCTTGGGACTTCATCTTTGGTTTGTCTACAAAGTATATTCTGCTCTTTTATGGATGGCGAGAACCTGTCCCTCCACGTCGCCACCCGAACATAGCCGTGCAAGGCTCTGCAGCTGCGGCCCACCACGCTGCCCCTGTTTCAAACCACCGTCTTCTCAAGACCATTTCAGTTCCTCTCCAAACTCAGCCCCAAACCCCTGGGTGTCTATGTCTTGATCTTGGATCTTTGCCTCCTGCTTGAAAAACCCACCAACAGCATCCAACAGCCACCCTTTTCCACATCGTCCCGAATCCCTTAGTCCCCTCCTCCCTCTCTGCCACTCCTCCGCCAGCACCGTGCAAAGCACCTCAGCACCGCCATGGGCGCAGTGTTGGAGCTCCTCCCCGGCAAGACCACCCGACGAGGCGCGGGTCACCGTGAAGGAAGAAGCTCTGGTGGGGAAGGAAGAAGCTCCGGTGAAATAGGACTGAATTCCGTGATCTGGTCAGACGTATAGACTGTAATACATCTTCCGGGATGAGACGGTGAGCCATGAATGGTGTGACAGAAACACAAGGAGGATGCCTCCGTCATGTTTAAAGAACTTTCATTCCAACTTTGGGTATCCCAATGCCCAATCTTAACTCTGATAGCTTGTTCGTTCGCACCTCACTCCTTTGGTCAAATAGGACATAGGCACATTGATCAGCGACCGATCAGCGACAAAAGGCGCCGACAAAATGCCACGAAAACCGGTCCCAGGTAGCTGCATCCCACAACGTCATCGTGCAGGTAAAGGCCGTCGCGGCGAGATCCGCCGACTGCAGCTGGACGGTGTCAGGCACTCCTCAGGACGAACGGGGAGCGAACTGGCTGGACCCGTCGCAGCAGTGGGGAGGCCGAGCCAAGCCCGTCAAAGAGAACGACTAGTGAGAGTAGAAAGTCCCGTTCCAGTTGAATGAGTCGACTGATAATCCACTTGAAAAAGGCGAGCCTCCCATGGCTGCATCGAGATTCGAACCGCACGGGACTATCATTCAGTGCTTCTGGATGGACATGGGATGTACTCTCCCGCAAACGGACCACATGGAACCTGAGAAGTGACCAGTGGTTTCAACCATTTTCAGTGGTTTTGGGGTTGCATGTGGTCCTCTGCAGGGGCTGTACCCCAAAGCCCCCCTTTTCTTTTCCCCCGAGGACCAGTGCTGGTCTTAGGTGGAGGTGTTGGCATCTCTACTCTACTCGTGGGTACAATTAGAGCTTTGAATAGCCTGTCGTGCCAAAGCATAGAGCTAAAAGACCATGTGTACCATCCATTCTTTGGAGTTCTGGCCTCAAGTAGTGGATGGCATATCAGATGACAAATGAGCTTGGCGAATGCCATCAGTATTGACTCTAGTGCTGGGAGTGCCGAAAGAGAATTTCGATTGGTCTCTTCAAAAGCTTGCCTGCATTGAATGTAGCTTGGCCAGCTTGCCGCTGGGCCCCTGGAGAGGTATCTGTCAAATCTTCCATGGATTCAGGCTTTGGGATCAGCCTCACTGAATAGGCTTCAAGGAAGAAACACTCCGACTGATTCGCGCGCCCGAACCTGCTTGCACCTCTTGCAGGAAGTCTCTGCGCAGGTGCCGATGGTTGGGCGCCTACAGGACGTACGGTCCCCGGGAAAAAAGAAAACATCACTACGGACCTTCAGTCAAATGGCTTTCCAAAATGTGGGGTGGATATATATATATATATATCATGTCCAGACTGTATACCATGGAGTAACTCTAGGTTGTTGCCCATCAGGTTGGTGAGCCTCAGCATTGAACCTCCCCAGCAGTACCACAATTTTTGCTGATCTGATTAGTTTACATTGCATATAAACCTAAACAAGGAATCTAGAAAAGGCTTAGAGACCAGTCAAAGCCTGGCAAACTCTCTGTTATCGGAGTGGCACCATGTGAGCACCCAACCACAATGTGTCTTGCCCCGTCACAAGGTAACTTGATTATAGCACCCCAAACACCCACCTGTGGTGAATTATGTCCTTCAACATGAGAAGTCTTGAACCTAACAAGCAAGACATTGAACATCATTTAACCTCTTCATGAATCTCTTTTTACGTTCACATCGCACTTCACCACCGAGAAGTTCACCACCACTTCGCTTCGAACACGTCATTGTCTTGCTCCGCCTCTTGAAGGCAAGCCACCTTGGTGCAGAAAACCCGAGTACGTGCGAACTCGCCACTGCCAGCAACTTCGGTGAGTTCAAAATGCAAAAAATAAACAATTGTTTGGTCATCCATGCTTGTACTCAGGCCATGCTGGAGTGGGCATGGAAGTGGCATGGAGTGAGCATCGTTTGGTCATACATGCTTGTACTCAGGCGCAGACCCATCGGACCGACCCAGTCCTGGACCCATCGGCTCGGGTGACCGCAGCCTTCATAGCACCCACCTGTCTCTTCTTATAGTAGTTGTGTGGCTGGTCTTTTGTGGAGTGCAACGAAAAGGAAAATGCATCTGCCAAGAAGATACATCACCCACGTCACTGGCACCTCCACGGGGTCGCCTGACGTGTTACGCGCCATATACCCGGTATACCCGGGTATCACACGGTATGTCCCAAAACTGATATCTTTCGGTCACCCAGGTCAATCCTGTCGCTCCATACCTCACCCCTTCAGTGCCCACCATCACAACCATTGGAATCCGAAGGCGCGCAGCCGCGCGGCATCGGTCCGAATCCACGCGCTCAGCCGTGGGGCCTCGGGGTCTCCAGGGAGTCTTCGGGGGTCTAAAAAGCCAACCAAAGCCACCAAGCCGGCGCTCTGTATCAGGAGGGATATGCTGTTGTTCTTTTTTCCAGGGCCTCTGCCAAAAAAAGAAAGGTGATGAGTTCGTGTCTCATGTCTTTTTTGGGGTCCACGGTCGACCCCACGGTCGACCCGATATGACGGTGAGTGTGACAGAGCGGAGACGGCCTCGACCCAGGTCGACCCCTGCGTGAGGTGTCTGGGACCCGTCTGGGAGTTTCTCTTGCATGTGGATCCCTTGGTAGTGTCGGAGTCGGACTGCTGGTAGGAGTAGTTAGTTCATGAGTCACGAAGCTGAACATGGGTCCCTGCCTTCACTCTACGGGTCCCTGTCAGCGGTGAAATCCGGCTTCTCATCATGAATCCCGCGCTGGAAATGGAGCAACTCACCCTCTGTCAAATCTAAATATGGATGGCCTGGCACTGGCCACGACGCTGGATGAGAGATCGATACTGCATGAACTTGTGTGGTTTTGGGGAGGAGCAAAGGGGAGGGCCTAAGCACACAGGCTCACCCCATCTGAGAACCTGGCGACCTTCTCCTGAAGTCTCCTGACCATTGGACCATCGCGTTCGTGGATGGAACATGCTAGGTCCTAACAGCAAACAAATGATATTGATATTACATCATATTACTGTAACCTATAGGCTCGCCTACCTCCCAGGCCTAGCGCCTGGAAGAAAGGATACAGCAGGACCTGATGATTGACTGATTCGGAGTCCAACTATGAGACACACCAAAATGATTCGAAAAACCTGTTGCCATCCCCAGAAATTGGATCGAACGGTGGCTATGGATGTGCCACCTTTTCCGAAGAACGGCTCACCCAACTGCCCACAACTTGTTGGCTCAAGCAAGGCTCCGCGGAACGGGAGGAAAACCTCCCTTGCTTTGGATGCTCTGTTTAGCCAAGTCTTCCTGTCCACAGGGCCCATCCACTCCACTTGCTTCGTGGCGTGAACCGAAGACCAGGTCAGCCTGCCTGATGTAGTCTTCCACGCTTTCATCGAGGTCCAGGCCATTGTTGGTGACCGCCTCCGGTACGGCGAAATCCGCGGCGAAATCTTCGGTCACTTAACAAGAAGGAGCGATCGGACGCTACTAGGGGCTCTAGGGCGTCCTGGCCTTACTAGGAGCCAGGACGCTACGTTTGGGGCTCCTGGCATCGCTACTCGGAGCAAGAAAGCCGCACTCTTGTGACTGATGCCGCGAGTTCATGGCAGTAAGCGCCAAGGGGTTCACCATCAGGCACGTGACACACACAAGTGAATGATGGTGAATGTTTGCTTGAGCATCTTGTAACTTAAAGAAGTCATCAGGGCAAAGGCCGAGTGGCTCGGAAGTGTTGTCCTGTATTATTCGGCGTTGCCGCTGAAAGTTCAAACGAACAGTTCCACATAGAACTCGCAACTTCAAATTCTTTGCTGTTGCTCGTCGTGCACAAGTCACTCACTGCATGGCACGCAAACCTTCCCCAGCTTCCCAGATGGTCGAACCGAACCCCTCTCCCTTTCACCGCTTCGCTCTGTAGTGCGTCGCCGCTAGCGAACGGCCTCCCCCGCCGAGGTCCTGGCGGCACCGGCTGCACGGTCACGGAGCCGGTGGGGGGCGTCGTCCACATCGTTCCCAGCGGTCCCACCGGTCACCGAGTCTTCGTCGAAGCTGGAGGGAGATCGGACTCGAAGACGCACCACCCGAGGTCTGCGGTGCGTGCTAAAGGCGTGTTTGACTTGGAGTGATCCGACCAATTCCGGCTATTCCACCAGCACAGGCACCCAAAAGAGTTGTTCAGTGGTTGGGCTTCGGATCGCAATCCAAGGCCGCACCGACGCACCGACCTAGTGAACAAGGCAGGACAAAACCAGGCCAGCTGAAACACCCCGACCCACCCAGCTTCACCGATGTGACCCACCCAGCTTCACCTCTTTTTGCTCAAGAAAGAACCCCAGGAAAAAAAATGTAAAAAACGTATCTTGGACTGTTTCCGGGAAGGACATACCGACCTCCAATCATGGGGCGTACTTCCTCCATGCTCCATCCGACTCGACTCGTGCTGTCCACTGGCCGATCGATCCGTGTGTCCATCTTCATGACCCGCAGATCTACCAAGCCGAAACCCAGTGAAAACTCCTTCCCAGTCACCTGCAGACCATCCTCCCAGCCACCTGCAAAGGGCCCGACCCATGATGTTCCAGTTGAAGACCCGCACCTGGACCAAGTCATCATCGAGTCGTCGCGGCTGTGGAGCCCTGAGGAGCCCTGAAGTCGGAGCCAATGTTAGGTGATGACAGGAGTAGTTCGTCTGACTGCTGCTTAGTAAGGAATGAGAGAATGGATCCTAAGGTATCTATAGTGAGGGGTCATTTCCTCATTCCGTACTAAGTACCAGTCAGTCGTTGGTGTATCATTTCATGGATTTGCCCTGCCCGCTCATCATCCAGACTTGTAGCTCTCCAAAACCCTGGATATACTAATGTGTCATGCTTGATTAAAGGGGGAGGAGGTAAACCGGTAAACCAAATGGCTCGAATCCTCGGTTTTGATCCATTTGATGCCAACGGCCGAGAGTGCCAAGGGATTTCCACGCTTCCATTGGCTTAGCAAAAGCTGTGCCCCATGTGCCAAGTCCTCATTCCCAACTCCGGTTTTCGCACAGGTATTTCAGAGCGCTATTGGGGACTTCTGCAAAATCTGTACGGGAAAAGCAAGCTTGGCCAAAGAAGAATGCGGTGCGTCAAAAATCCTTCCAGGTGGACCATTCTTCATAAGATCTTTGCGCCCCACCCCTGCTCTTTCGTGGCGCCACCGCTCCCCTGCGAGCCTCCTCTGCAGTGGGCCCAAGAAATGTGAACTCCTCAAAACTGCACGAGAGAAGCGCACTCAAAATCATGCCACCAAACAGGATGTGTAGCGTAGAGTGGATAATCACAACCATGACTCTCCACAAAAAGCAAGTGCAAGTAACTCAGAGGTTGACTGGTCAGTGAGTGCAAGTTGTG